AAAAAAAAAAAAAAAGGAGAAAAAGACTAACCAGGCTCTAAATTCAGAAAATAATTAATTGGTTTCAACAGAGATTCATAAACAGAAGTAAGCCACAACTTAGCAAAGACCAGCAGCAAAACCTTACAAGATGGGCTGTAAGTTCTTCGATGGTTCATTTTATATTTCCTCTTTGAATTCCACTTGTGCATTCTGTGTAGCAACTTCATAAATCTTCCAAAATTAGTATTATTTATATGTCACACTAACAGCAGAATTCCTTTTTTCATCGAGACCCCTTTTCAGTAAATAAACGAACAAATGACTTTCCGCGTTCAATTTTCTGAATCGAGTCCTTTGGTTTGCAGGTGCTATTTGCTGCATCGTTAATAAAGAACAATAGGGCGCTTCACGAGGCACTCATGTCAGCAATGTCGAAGAAGGCTTCTGTGGTTGAATGCATAGAGGCAATAGAGAAGGCTGAGTAAATAACTATTTATACAAAGCCATGCTACATTTTTTTTCTTTGTTATTTTTTATTTTTTATTTTATTTAAGTTCTTCTGTAATTCCCCCCAATGATCTTGTTAGGAAAGAGTCAAGTAGAGAACATACATGAAAGCACCAAGCAATTATTCATTGTTAAAAATTATTCTACATAAGTTTTTTCTGTTCATGCTGCAATTCTTGCTATGTAAATTCTTAACTGTTAAAACGTGATCTTCAAATAATCCCACAAAACACCTAAAAAAATCTTTCTTGTTGAGTGCACTACAATTTAACATGGCCAAAATGACTCCTATAGAACAATACTAACGTACAAGATATCACAATACTAAAGTATGTATAATTATTAGAAGAGTATGACTATCAAACTATTAGGCATTTAGCATTAAGACCTATCGATACTTGTAAAATAAACACGCAAGACAACATCGACTATCTAACAATATCAATACACAATTACCTTTTTACCCTCACGGCCGACACTTCACAAATTCCACACAACTTACCTATACTTACATATCGCGCACACATATATAGTATTCAAGCAAACCCGTTTTTGCATGATTCTAATGGGCTCTTTTTATTTCATTCCTCTAAATCAAATCACTCGGACCAGTCATTAATGTCGGTCTCGTAAAACAAGCCATCGACTATTTGGTCAACGAGTGCATCAATGAAGGTGTTGCATCCAGTTGTGAAAATCGAGCCCACTTTTTTACGGTAGCTCGAGAACCAAGCAAAAGTGGCGGCACTAGCTATGGCTGCCAAGCATGCGCCTGCACCTTCTTCAAGTCCTTGCAAATCGAGTTTCCTGAATACCGAGTTCCCTGTCACAATCTCCACTCCAACTGTTGCAGCAAATACAATCTAAAAAGTGCAAGATAAAAACATACCAAAAAGTTAGTCGTTGCACCAAAAAAAAAAAGGAAAAGAAAAAAGAGATAAATCAGTTGCATGCTCAAATAAAAGATGTCCATTTTACGCACTTGAGTAGAGTTGTGCACAATATTGTATGGGCTTTGATTCAGTAGTAATCAAGTCATGGCAGAAATATAGCTTCAACGAGCCTAATTGATACTTTTACGCACATTTCCTAATTTGTTTATCAATCGAATAAGGTTTTGAGCCGAGCTTTATATTTTATCCAAATGAAAAAAATCTAAAGACTTTGCTTCACGAAGGAACCATGGCCTATCGATAATGAGCCCTTTATGTCCGATCTCAATTCATGTAATATGAATGTGTAGAATCGATGCAACCCAGTTCTACACAGCTCATGTTCACAAAAGCCACACAACTTTGAATTAGAAACACACAAGATTATTAATATCAAGTTAAAAGGAGGAGATTTAATTAAGGAGGCTATATAATAACGATACGGAACAGAACAATACACTTGTTCCATGTTCCTAACTTAAAGATTGTAACATTTGTTTCTTTTTAAGACAAGAATTAAGATTACTACATAAACAATGATTCAGAGTACTAAATCCTTAGAAAAAACCTGAAAAATTCGGTCTTTTTAATTCTTTCAACTCTCAAATCGAAAAACACAAACCAAAATCAATCACTCATTTACCATGGGAAGCTATATGGAGTATTTACTGGATACTAAAAACCGATGCAACTTGATTCTACATAACCCATGTTCACAAAAGCCATGCAACTTGCAATTCCAAACACAAGATTATCAAGCTAAAGAGAGGACCTATAAAATAACGATACAGCACAATACAATTCTCCCATGTTTTTAACTCAAGATTTCAACATTTTTCTTTCCAGACAATTGAGAGTACAAAATCCTTCAAAAAGTGAAAAATGTTTTATTCGTCTTTTTTATATTTTCAACTCTCAAATCGAAAAACAAAAACGAAAATCAAGCATTCATTTTACCATGGCAAGCCGACCAGACATAATCTCGAAATCGTGACTCTTCTTGGAGCTCTCCACATAATCCGACAGAGTCCCGAAGAACCTAGAAACCTCGCTCTCCACATTAGCCCTAATCACGCCGCCCCCGCGCTCTCCCCCGAACGACCTCAGCGTGCAAACCCTAGGCTGCAGCACGATCTTTCCGCCGCCCTCCGCCGGCGCCTCCGCCGCGCCCCTCAGCCTCTGAAACTCCGGCAACGCCGATTTCTCCGCCCTGATCCGGCAGAGGATCGGCCTCGGAGCGCGCAGCGCCATGGAAATATCTTGATTCAGATCCCGAGTTTTTCACTTTTCATTACTTTTTTTGTTAAGAAGAATCTCGAGCGTTTTCGGTGAGTGAAGACTCCACGTCGCGATAAAAGGTATAAAAGGGAGGTGGGCGCTGGCAATTGGTGGTGGTTTTGGGGTGTGAGGTGAGGGACGTGGAGCTTCCATTGTTCGCTAATGTTGCTTTCCAATTTCTATGGAGGGTTTTTGTCGCCATTTTTGTTTTGGTTTTTGAGCTTTTAATTAGAGATGGTGGGGACGGAGGTAGGTGAGGGATCATGTGATGAATCTAAAATCGCTGGCCACTGAACTGATTTTATTTATTTATTTATTCTCGCGTTTTCTAGTATACAATATTATATACTACTTGAGTTAAGAAAATCATATATAAATAATATTAAAAAAGATAAATATATTATTCTTTAACGAAATAATGGTAATAATTAAACAAGTTTTCCAAGTAAGTAATAGTTTTCAAGCTCAAACAAATAATAAGTTTCATGCCCATATCATAAATCATAATTGTATTTAACAATAATCATTTTACTTATTTTTTTAAGTAAAGTTGATTGATATGTTTTTAAGAGATGGACGCATTTTTGCAAATTATCAAGTCGATGCTCATATAACTGCGTTCAATGGCGAAACTAGGTAGAGGCCAGCCTAGGCAATTGCCTAGACTGGATTTTTGGTGCTAATACACATTTATATAGTTAACATGTGTTAATTAAATTTTATATTTAATATTTGTAAAAATATAAATACATGTATTTATCTTAATATTATAAATAATTCTTACAAAATAACATTAATTTTTTATTTAAATCGATACACCTCACTTGTCAGATTCGACAGTCTTATATTATATTATTTTTAGTACTTATAGTATATATAGGCTTGACAGATAAATTTATTACTTTTCAAAATAGAGATCAAATAGATATAATTATTAATTTATATATACGATATGAATGTCAAGTTATAAATCGTCAAAATATGACTAATTTCATTTATCATACATAAAAAATAATAAAATATAAATGTTATTAACTTTTAAAATATATTTGCAATTTAAGTTAACCGAATGTTCAAATTTGAAAGTTCTAGATAAAGGTCCATATTTATATGGACTATTTTGAATCCTTAGAAACTAACAAATAGAATTACAAAGTGTTGGTAGTTGACAATGAAAAACTCTAGTAATAAGATAATTCATGAGGAACTCTTTATAAAATAACATACACACAAATGATGACATTTAAGCTTTTCTTGAAACAACTTTAACTTATTGTATTCATATAATCAATTATAAACTCAACTTCTAAATCATGATATATATATATTTTAACAATTTGAACATATCATAAATATTCTTATATATATATATATATATATATATATATATATATACTCATAAACATCTAAACTCATTATCAAAGCATGATCTTTATTATGAAACTTTAAGATAAGTAAATTACCTCCTTCTTGCTAGAATAGAAACTTGATTCTTTACTTCCAAATTCTTCACTTCAGTAAAATTTCCACTACTTATTCTCTCTTATGAACTTATATAACTTTTGATAATTTTCTTTGGTGTAAAAACTCTGAATTTTAGGCCTCTATTTGTAGGCATAAATGTGAGACATCATGATGGAGTGAAGAAGTGAACAAAATAAACAAATAAAACTTATAAACATAATTAAACATAAACTAGTTAATGACTAACTTGTATACTTCTCAAATACATAGTTAATCCTCAAAAATGGCCTCTGGTTGAGATCACAATCGGATTCTCAATAATCAGACCTTTCTGTCGGTCACACGACTCGTGTGGCTCCACACGACTCGTGTGGCTATGTCACACGACTCGTGTGACTCCACACGACTCGTGTGCCTTGTCACACGACTCGTGTGAAAAAGCCAAAGCTAACTTTCCTTTTTCTCTCCTTCCACACGACTCGTGTGCCTTGTCACACGACTCGTGTGGCTTCACACGCCTCGTGTGGACTTTGTAGTCGTAGTCCCTGGCCGGGGATTGCTTGTTGAGAATCTAGCTGCTAGAACATTAGGTTAGAAAAGCATGTGTTATGTGTTAACTGTGTGCTTATCCTTGTTGTGTTGAGCCTGTGGATATTCTCATTTGTACGAGCATTAAATTTTGTATTTTTTGCTGTTTTGTGCTTAATTTCGATGAAATTTTGCTTGTTGCTAAATTTCTGTTGTTTTTTGAGTCTAGGTCCCTCATTGTATATCCATTGGTGTTATATTAAATTGACCGGTTGATATAGCCATACTTATGAACCGGAGTCAATATGAAGAGGTCCGAGCGAAACCGAAGAAGAGCAGCCTGAGGAGGTCTAGACGAGACTTGAAGGTCTCGGTGACTGAGTATGAGAAGCTCCACACGACTATGTATGGGAAGTTGACATGTTCTCTGTGACTGAGTATGAGAAGCTCCACACGACTAAGTATGAGAAGTAGACATGCTCTCTGTGACTGAGTATGAGAAGCTTCACACGACTAAGTATGGGAAGTAGACATGCTCTCTGTGACTGAGTATAAGAAGCTCCACACGACTAAGTATGGGAAGTAGACATGCTTTCTGTGACTGAGTATGAGAAGCTCCACACGACTAAGTATGGGAAGTAGACATGCTCTCTGTGACTGAGTATGAGAAGCTCCACACGACTAAGTATAAAAAGTAGAGATGCTCTCTGTGACTGAGTATGAGAAGGTCGAATTGCTCTAAGAAGATAAATAGAGGTCATCTCGACCTGCTAGAGGTCATCTCGCCTTGCTAGACTTGCGAGAGGTCATCTCGACCTATTAGACTTGCGAGAGGTCATCTCGACCTGCTAGACTCGCCAGAGGTCATCTCGACTTGCTAAACTCGTCTCGACCTGCTAGACTTGCGAGAGGTCATCTCGACCTACTAGACTTGCCAGAGATCATCTCGACTTGCTAGACTCGTCTCGACCTACTAGACTTGCGAGAGGTCATCTCGACCTACTAGACTTGCCAGAGATCATCTCGACTTGCTAGACTCGTCTCGACCTGCTAGACTTGCGAGAGGTCATCTCGACCTGCTAGACTTGCCAGAGGTCATCTCAACCTGCTAGACCTGCTAGAGGTCATCTAGACTTACTAAACGTCTCTGTGACTAGAGGTCTCCGCATATAGACCTCTCCGCTACTAGACGTCTCCGCTACAAGACGTCTTCTCTACTAGACGTCTCCGTGACTAGAGGTCTCCGCTACTAGACGTCTTCTCTACTAGACGTCTCCGTGACTAGAGGTCTCCGCTACTAGACGTCTTCTCTACTAGACGTCTCCATGACTAGAGGTCTCTGCTACTAGACCTCCGCTACCAGACGTCTTCTCTACTAGAAGTCTCCGTGACTAGAGGTCTCAGCTACTAGACCTCTCCGCTACTAGACGTTTTCTCTACTAGACGTCTTCGTGACTAGAGGTCTCCGCTACTAGACCTCTCCGCTACTGGACATCTCTGTGACTACAAGAGCATGATCTAGAGGCAGTAATTGGATAATAAAGAATCTTGAGCTGACTAGCAGGTAGATGGAATGCGAATTGTCCAGGGTATTTTGGACACTTCAGGTAAACCAACCGGGGCATTTTGGGTACTTCAAGCATGTAGTTCCCTCTATATACAGGGGCTGAGGTAACCCTAAACCCTAACCTCTACTCATTCTACACACTTTCCATCTCTCTGCTGCTGCTGCTCTCTGAGAGCAGCTCTCTCCCCCACATTCTATGCATTTCTACATGCATTACAGCTCTACATTACAGAGCTTCATCTTCCTCTCTTCTTTTTACTGACTTGAGCGTCGGAGGCCCGACGCCAGAACCTCTCCCGGCGTTGGGTTCTTGCAGGTGTTTGCAGCGGTCTAGCAACGATTTGAAGGCAGTTCAAACAGACCGGAGCTCACAACAACCGGTTTTCTCCAGATCTTGAAGTAGACCCATCACCGGTGATGAGCATATTGATGATTATACTCCTATTGTGCTCTTGAATGCTATACCTGATTCTTACAGTGATGTGAAATCTGCTATTAAGTATGGTAGAGATAATATGAATCTTGACACTGTTGTGAATGGTTTGAAAAGCAAAGAGCTGGATTTAAAAATCAACAGAGGTAATGGGAATGTCAGTGAGGTTAATTTTGTGAGGGGAAGGCCTCAAAATCGTTTTCAAAATGAAAAACCTCTAGCCGATCAAAATTTTGGCAAAAAGAAGGGTACATGGAAATGTAGGTCGAAGTCTCGACTGAAAAACTGTAGGTGTTATAATTGTGGTGAAATTGGTCATTATATGAATGATTGCCCTAATCCTAAGCAAAACCAGCATAATGATCATGCGAATATGGCATCTAGTAGTGAAAACCATGGTGATGTGTTTTATGTGACTGATATGCATGATAATGTGAATCCTGTGCGTTCTCTTTCTCTTTGTGAAAATGAATGGCTTGTTGATTCTGCATGCTCGTTTCATATGTCTCCTTTCAAACACTTGTTTTCGAACTATGAAGATGTGAAGAATGGATTTGTTTCTGTGGCTAATGAGAAATCGTGTGAAGTTGCTGGTCTTGGTGATATTTACTTGAGATTTGATTCTGGTTATGTGTTAACTTTGAAGAATGTGAGGCATGTCCCTAATTTGTGTCAAAATTTGATATCATGTGCTGCTTTAGAAGATGATGGTTTAAAGGGTAAATGGGGAAATGGGGTTATGAAAATTTTGAAGGGTTCTTTGGTGATCATCAAAGCTGTTAAAAGGTTGAACTTGTATGTTTGCATTGCTGAATCTTGTATGCAAAAACCCGTGAATAATGTCTGTGGTGACAAAACTGATTTGTGGCATAAGCGTTTAAGTCACATGAGTTCTACGGGTCTTGAGATTTTGCATAAAAATGGCTCTTTTGGATGTGACAAATTGTCTTGTGTGCCATTTTGTGATTCTTGTGTGCTTGGCAAACAATCAAGAGTGTGTTTCCCTGTTTCTTCTGTGGCTAGACAACTTGCTTCTTGTGAAATACTTGAGTATGTG